AGAAAACCACAAATTTTATGAATATACTTCTGTTATTTTGAAATATTTAAATTGTGATAGTACAACATCAGTAAAAATTAAATTTTGGTCACTATCTAAGGACAAATAATGCAGAAAACCACAAATTTTATGAATATACTTCTGTTATTTTGAAATATTTAAATTGTGATAGTACAACATCAGTAAAAATTAAATTTTGGTCACTATCTAAGGACAAATAATGTAGAAAACCACAAATTTTATGAATATACTTCTGTTATTTTGAAATATTTAAATTGTGATAGCACAACATCAGTAAAAATTAAATTTTGGTCACTATCTAAGGACAAATAATGCAGAAAACCACAAATTTTATGAATATACTTCTGTTATTTTGAAATATTTAAATTGTGATAGCGCAACATCAGTAAAAATTAAATTTTGGTCAGTATCGAAGGACAAATAATGCAAAAATGTAATATTTCAACTAGATGCATATACGAAAAAGAAAATTTAAAAATAATATTTTTGTTTTGAAAGTCTCAGATCTTTTACAATATTGATACATATCATTTGCGAGTAATTTATAAAAATTATTCCATGTATTATAACTATATTCAATGGTGCTGATGGTAATATTGAAAGACTGATAATGCATCGCAACCTTGCTCCATGATTTGCGTCTCCTTACCTGTTTCAAGATGTCTTCCTCTTGTTGGGTCTGTGATAATGCCTTGGCATAACGAAAATTTTCTGTATTGAGCAGACATCGGAGAGGAATGAAGCGGTCGCCAGAAAGGCAATTAGGAACGTGCCATTCGTGTTTTGATGTAAAAGATTGTAAAGGCATGTTAAACATCTGTAAACATTTCAATAAAAACTGAACAGTCCATCTAACTTAACAAGCTACAAATATATATTAACTATTTTATCCAGTAAAGCTTAGTTCTTAAAAAGATATTTCTCATAGACTGGAAGACAGGGGTTCGATACCTGAAAGGTGCAGACATTTTCGTGTTTATTGTGGTCTTCTGAGTTGTGACGGTGTAGTCTTACAGATAATTATCAATATTTTAAATAAAATCCAAGCGTGATTTAAAAATCAGTAACCAGGAACTAAATTATAATACGAAAATTCAAGTGGTTGACAATCACTTCAATTTAGCCAGTAAACGTTAGTTTCTAATTAAACGTGATCAGGAAAGAAAATTTTTATTTCATGAGAATTTATATTTGGGAAGAAATAGGGTTATTGTACCCTTAATATCCCGTTTGAAAATGTATTTGAC